GCCCCTGTCCCCCAAAAATGAGGGCCCAGCAGAGGCTGTCTCTCCTGTGGTGCATTTTGCTGCCCTCCCAGTGGACCACACCCGAGTTCTGCCTTGGACTTTTATTTGAATGGAAGGAAGGCTTGAAGAGGTTCTAGAAAAATAAACGATCTTAGGTACCACACAAACTAGATGGGGTTAGGGCCGCCCCCGGGAGGTGTAGGGGATCTTTGGTCTGGGGGGGTAGGGATTGCAGGTGATGAGGGGGGCCTTAGAGGAAGCCCGTGCCTTCCCTCCCACCCAGTGGGCAGGAAGGCTGGGCACACTAGGGGGATTGGGGAATCAGAAATAGTGCTGGACGGGGAGGGTCAGAAGTCCAGCTCCAGGCAGCTTTTCCATGCACACAGCTAGTACCAGGTGCCAGGGCCACACACCCATTGCCCACCCTCCCCTCTGGGGCCTGGCAGGGGTGGAGTGCAGGCTGCAGCCCCCTGAGGCCACAGCAGCTGTGTCTCGGAAGTCCCAAGCCCAGGGTCTACGCTGCCCTGGTCAGCAGGGGCCGCAGGGCCGCAGTGCTCACAGTTCCAAGGGCTCCTCCACTGGCACAGACTGCAGCTGAGTCAGAACCTTGGCCTCAGCAGCCTCCAGCCCCTCGTCCACCTCACCCCCTGCCGCGGCTCCCAGGAGTAAGCCCTCGGAGTCGGGGTCCGGCAGCCTCAACACGGCATGGGGGGCCTGCGAGCCCAGCTCCTTCTCCCCATCCAGCAGCCCGTCAGCTCCCGAGTTCAGTTCCAGCCCTGCTGGCCACACAGGCACGGCCGCTGGTGACAGCATCAGCCCCTCAGCCGGGGCGGCAGGGAAGCCAGGCACCAGGCTGGACTGCCCTGGGGAGAAGGGCAGGCCAGTGGCCGAGGCAGCGGCTGCAGTGGCAGCTGCTGGGGGCACTGGCTGCTGTGCAGAGCTGGTGCTGACGGTGTGTGCCTCAGGGAGGGCGGGGCTGGGGGCCACCGGGAGGGTACCCTCTGGCACGGAGATGGCACCCTCTGGCTTCAGCGGCAGGGCCAGGCCAGGGCCGGGCGGCAGGACCTGGGAGACCAGCATGCTGGTGGGGAAGGTGGCCGTGAGGATGAGCTTGCCCTGCTGCACAGCCACCCCTGTCACAATGGGGCTGCCGGAGACGGGGTTGGCCAGGAGCAAGTTTCCTGAGGGAGAAGGCACCAGGTTAGAGGTGGCAAACGGCCTCTTCAGGTCTCAGGGAGACACCACCCCAGGTTCCCGCCCAGGCCTGGGTGAGGAGGCAGGGTTACCTGGGGCGGTGGCTGAAGGCAGCTGCAGGGCTGTCACGCCCACCCCAGAGTTGAGCAGGTGCACATTGGCGGGCCCTGTGGCAGCTGCCACCTTCACAGGGCTGCTGGGCCCTGCTGCCAACAGCTGCAGGGACCCCACAGCCTGGGGCGAGGGCACCACCTGGGGCAGGTTCAGTAGCGGGGAAGTGGGGTACCCAGGGGGTGGGGACAGGGGTACCACTTGTGGGGCAGCCACCGCAGGCACTGGTCCTGGGGTCAGAGGGAAGGCAGCAGCTGGTGGGGGTCCGGGCACCACTTGGGGCAGGGGTCCGGCCATGTCTTCTCCTGCTGGCCCAGACCCAGCCACTTGGGCCCCCTTGGTCTCTGGGGCCTCAGGCTGGGCTTCTTCCAGCCGCACCTCACCAGTCTGAGGGTCCAGGATCAGGGCCGCCTTGGCTTCGCCGGTTCCCTGGGGACTGGGCTGTGCTGGGGGCGGTGGAGGAGGAGGAGGAGGAGGGGCAGCGCTGCCCCCTGCGAGCAGCAGGGAGCCCAGGCTGGAGGCTTCGGCCAGAGCCAGGCTGTTGATGATGACAGGGCTGCCATTGAGGAGGACGGCCGGGGAGCTGCCAGCGGCGGCAGCCAGTAGGCTCCCGTTCACCAGGATGGAGGAGGCGGCGGCGCACGGCGCGGGAGGTGCAGCCCCAGGCAGGAAGATGGAGCCCTGGGCAGGGGGCGCTTCGGCGGACCCCGGGGCCACTCCCCTCTCCTGGGCCTCGGGACTGCGGCTGGACTCGTCCTCAGTAGTGGCGTTCCCATCTGACTCGCTGGCGGGAGAGAGACGGGTCATTCCTCTGGCCTGAAGGCTGCGCGGGATGTCTCCCCATATCCTGCCAACCCCCACACTGTGGACGGCCAGGGGCCCCACGTCCCCACCGCTTCCACGTTCTCTGGGGGAGGCAAAGGAAAGCAGACAGGCCCAGAGCAGCCAGGCGACCAGGATGCCAGCGCGGCGCCCGGGCCCTCCCTCCCCGCCCCCAGGGCGGGCATGAGCCGTGAGCGAGAGGCCAGCGGTGCGGGGTGGGAGGGGAAGGGCTTGGGTTACAGGGAAACAAGAGCTGTGGAAGGTTCACGTTTCACAACAAAGACAGGCAAGGGACCACGCTGTCCTGAGCTCGGGGCAGGGTGAGGCAGGAGGGCGGTCAGAGGGTTCCCTCGGTGTTGGGGTGAGCAGGGGCCCTACCCCTCCCAACATTTCCGATGGTTTCCCCCAGTCCGAAATACGGAGGGGGCAGTGGTGCCCAGGGGTGCCCAGGGCACGAGCCCTGTCCCACGCATGCACGTTCCGCAGACGCCCCGGGTGTGAGCAGGAGTCCGGGTGCAGGCGCGCCGACTCCCGTCGTGGGGCCGAGGTGGGGTGGGGAGCAGGGCCGCCGCTGGATGCAAACGGCCACGGAGAAACAGAGACGTGCGTGTCCCTGCTCGCGCGCGCCCTAGGACCCCTCACCTCTTGCAGGGCGCACCGCTGCTGCTCCCAGTGCGGTCACGCTGTCGCCGGTTCTTGAACCAGTTGCTGACCTGCGTGAGCGAGAGGCCGGTGAGCGTGGCCAGGCGGCGTTTCTCGTCGGGCGTGGGGTAGCGGTTGCCGCGGTAGCAGGCCTTGAGCGCGGCGCGGGAGCGCTCCTTGAAACAGTAGACAGTCTCCTCGCCGTCCCAGATGGTCTTGGGCAGCGGGAACTTCTTGCGCAGCCGGTATTTGTCCACCGCGCCCAGTGCGCGGCCGCGGGCCCGCTCAGCCTCGTGATAGCGCGCGCGCAGGTAGAGGTCCTGCAGGAAGGCGTGGTGGGCGGCCGGGAAGGGGCGGCTCTCGAGGAGTCGGTAGAGCTCGGCGTACTCGCCCCGCTGGAAAGCCACCAGGGCCCGCGCGCGCAGCACCGGGTCGCTGCCACGTAGGCGCTCGGCCGGGGGCAGTGCGCCCAGGAAGCGGCTCAAGCGGCCGGCGTGGCCCGCCTGAAGCAGCGCCTCACACACGCACGCCACCTGCTCGGGCGAGAAGCGGAGGCCCGTGGGCGGCTCGGCGGTGGCCTCCGGGGGCGACCCGAGGACGCCCGGGGATCCTGGGCCCTCCGCTCCCGCCGCCGCCGCCGCGTCGCCCGCCCCGGCCCCGGCCGCCGCCGCCGCCTCACCCTCAGCCGCCTGCAGCGTCTGCAGGAGCTGGCGCGCTTCCTCCTCCTCCTCCTCTTCGGCCGCCGCCGCCGCCGCCTCCCCCCCGGCCGCCGGCCCCGCGCTCGGCTCCCCGGGCAAGGTAGCCATGTTTTGCAACTTTGGGAAGTTCCTCCCTCCTTCTCCTCCTCCCTTGGGCTTCCCCCAGCCCCCCTCCCCCACCCGCCCCCTCCCAATCTTCTCCCCCGGCGGATCCCGCGGCGTCCTGCACCCCCAGGCGGCCCCGGTGCCAGGCCCAGCGCTCCGTTCGGGTCTCTAGATCCCCGGGTCTCTGTGTGCCCGCCCCCTCCGTCTGTCCGTGATTCTCCCTTTGTTTTCCCTCCGCCTCGGCCGCGCTTTCGGCCTCCCCTGGCTCGTGTGCCTCGGGCTCGGGGCTTCAGTTTTCCATCGGGACAACGGAGAAGGCAACGGGCCGTCTGGGAGGGTCAAGGACGCGAAGCCCCCTCCGCCCCGAGGCCGAGCTCCTGCACGCCTCCGTCGCCGGGGTCCTCTGCGGGCCCCCCCACTCTCCATCTCGGCCCGCGCTCCGCCCCTCGGAATTCCCGGCGGCTCCGCAGCGGGGGCGGGTCCGGCCGGGAGGAGGGGCGGGGGAAACGGGCCACAAAGTTTGCAGCAACTTTTCCCCCCCAATCTGCGTTCCCGGGGCGGATGCGCGTGGCCCGCGCAGGCGCGGTGGCGGGAGGAGGGCCGCGCGCGCCAGCGGCCCCACCCCCCATTCCCGACTCTTGCTGGCACAGCTGGGCCACAGCTGGGCGGGAGCAGCGCCTCCGATCGCCCCCTCCGCCTGGCTCGGTGTCAAAATGCAGCCCCTCCTCCTCCGGGCCGATCTGTCGGCTTTGCGGCCCGCTAGCTCCCTGCCCGGCCATTGACCGCCGGCGCTTGCCTTCGGGCTGGCCCTAACCACGTCCACAGCGAGCACCGCGGACCCCAAGCTCGGGACAGACCACAGAGGCTTTTTATTCACGAGGGCTGGAGGTGGGGGGGGGGGTTCCAGGTGTGGACAAACAATAAATACCGAGGGTCTTTGGGGTGGGGTTCAGTGTATCCAAACGTGGACAGGGGTGCGGGGGGAGCCTGGGGCCTGTCAGCGGTTCGGGGGGACGAGGTTAATAAATACCCAAACCACCGGGGCAGGCGGGGCCGGTTGGGACTCCGAGAGCAGCGATCGTGTGAGAAAGGGGCGCGCGGGGGCAAGAGGGGCTCCCGGGAAAGCGGGACTGGCAGCAGCGCACGGTTCCCGCGGGCGCGGGTCATGCCGGACGTGGCCACAGGAATGGCACGTCCCCTGGAGAGCGGGGCCTCGTGCGCGGGATGCGTGGTTTGCGAGCCCTTGCCGGGTGCGGGTGCGCAGAGGGTGAACACCGGCGTCCCGCCTGTCGGCCCGCCGCCTCCTCCGTCCCCCTTCTCCCCAGGCCGCGGCCCCGCGGGCCCCGCTCCTCCCTCCCCGGCCGCCAGGGGCGGGCCCGGATCACGGGGCAGGAGCTGGGCCGCCGAGCCGCTGGGCGCTCCGGACCTCTAGGGTTCAGGGGACGAGGAGGGCTCTGGGGCGGCGCCAGGCCGCGGCGCGATGGCGGCCGCGGGCCACCAGCCCAGCGCAGCCCGGGGCGGGGGCAGGAGCCAGAGCAGCGGCGGCGAGCAGGCGCAGGGGCCGCGCCTCCGGAAGGCCAGGCTTAGGGACCTGCGAGGGGACGGCCGGTTGGCTCGCGCCGGCCCCGCCCGTCCCTCCCGGGCCGCCCCCGTCCTCGTTCATTGGCTGGTCCCTAGCGGCCTGCGCCGACTGGCTACCCGAGCACCCTCCCGCGGCGAGTGGGCCGAGCCGGGCAGAGGCAGCGAAGCGGGCCGGGGGTGGCCGAGGGCGGGTGGAGCGAGGCAGGGGCAGCAGCCGCTGGACGTACCCTGGCAGGGAGCAGCAGGTGGCGGCGGTGCAGGGGGCCTGGCCCCACCAGCGGGCACTGGCCCAGAGCCACGGCCGGGGGGCCATCTAGCTGGAGAAAGAAGGACAGGTGACCCGATCGGAGGCCAGCCCAGCGCGGCCGCCCTAGGCGGGGAGCGCTACAGCGAGGGGAGTCAGGGCAGGAATTTGTTGGGGGGGGTGCGGAATTCAAGTCTGGACCGAGGGTGCTCTGGCCGCCGCGCAGCTGAGCATCTGTTCTAGAGAGCCCCGGAGACACAGGAGAGCCCTAAGTGTGTCCAGGGAGGGGGCAGAGGGCATCCGGAGGTGGGGTGGCAGCGTGAAGGCAGGGGAAGGAAAGGGGTCTTACATGGGAAGGTGGATCCGTGGCCCGGGGACTGGGGACCCCCGTGACAGCTGGAAGGAGAAGAGAGAGGCGTATGGCGCGTGGAGGACTGCAGGGGGGCGGTGGCGCGGCGTGCCCCAGCCTGGGCCCCTGCCCTCCCCGCTGTCCCCGCCTCCGGGCACCAGAGGGGCGGGGGAGGGAGACTCGCCTTCAGCCCGTTCGGCTTGCAGCAGCTGCATCCGCTCCTGCAGCTGGCGCACACGCGCCTCCAGGTCGCGGTTGAGGGCCTCTGCCTCACGGAGCTGGCTGTGGGGAGACGGCTTGGTGAGGATGGTAGCTGGGTAGGGGCAGGGGTGCAAACGTGCTGGGACAGGACCCCGACCTGGCGAAGTTCTGGTTGGCCACACGGATGGCCTCCAGCTCCTGGCTCAGGCTCTGCCGAGTGAGCGCCTCTTCCTCCAGGGCCTCCTGGAGCACACCCAGGGTCACCTCGGCCTCGGCCACTGCTGCCGCCGGGAGGGCCACTGGAACCGCCACTTCAGCCTGCACCGGAACCGCCACTTCAGCCCGCACGGGGGCTGCTACTTCAGCCTGCACCGGGGCACCAGGTTTAGTGCTGTCCACCGGCAGGGCCACTGGAACTGCCACTTCAGCCTGCACACAGGGATCAGGCTTAGTGGTGTCCCCAAGCCTGGGACATGCACTCCACAGGGGGCTCTCACTAGTTCTCCAATCTAGTATCTGGGGCCCTCACAATTCCCCCATTTCATGCCTTTTGGCTCCCATCAGGACCTGACACCCCCTCCCTGGCCTGCAGTCTCTAGCCTCCTGCAGCTCCCTGCAGCCTCAGCCCAGGCCCACCTTCCTGCAGGCCTCACTGGGCGTGTGTCTTGCTGCCCTCCAATCTCCCACAGGGTACCTCTCTACATGCTCCCCTTGGTCACTAGCCAGCACCCTGTGTCTTAGCTCTGCCTGCACCTGCCATGCTGCAGGAAGCCCTGCCTTCCGGCTCCCATCCCTCGGAACCACCTCCTCCACCCACTCACTGTTTCCTCCAGGAGAGGCCTCGCATGGTCAGGACTGGGCAGTTGCACCTGTGGCTCAGGCAATTGCTCGGCCTCCAGTTCCATGGGGGTGGGGCCTGGGGGCTCACTGTCCCTGGGAGAGGAAGGGAGAGAACGGAAGAGAGCAGGTCATGCCCCATGCTGCTGATCCTGCAGATAAACCTGGCAATGGTTGCCAGCCTCCGGGGCTTGAGGATGAGGAGGGCTTGGCAGAAGGGGCACTGTCACCTCCACAATGGCCTTGGGAACCCCTAGATGGCACCGCTAGGAATCACACACACCCCTCACGCTCAGCTACAGGCCACACAATAGGAAAAGAGCCAGAAAAGTGGGGTGCGTGCCACCCAGCAGCCACTCCTGGACATGCACAGGACCCTGCTGCTGACTGCTCGTTCCGGCTGCATGAACCACAGGGGGTGGGGTAGATCCTGGCCCTCGCAACGGGGTGGCAAGGGAGGAGCAGGCGTGTGCTCCATGGTGCTGCTGGCTGCATGGCCCCCAGGCAGGGCCTCTGGTGCCCACTGCCTTCTCCCCCACACCTTCACCTCTCCACGTGGTCAGCAGGGCTCTATGCACAAAATGAGTGTCTCTAAAAGACATCATCATTAGGGCAGGTAGCCAAGAAAGCATATATACCCGGGGTGGCCAGCCCGGCTGACGCCGAGCTCCTACAGCTGTGCCACAGTGCACCAGGCACCAGTGCAGAGGGGCTGCCAGGCCATGGGTGTGCCTCTGTGGCATCACAGTCTAACTTAATTTTTTGTTAATCAGTCAGGAATCCCTTCTGGTTTTTTCCCTTAATTTTTTTTTTTTACTTATTTCCATTTGAAAGGCAGAGAATGAGAGAGAGAGAGAGCTTTGATCTGCTACTTCACTCTCCAATGCCCAGAACAGTCAGGGCGGGGACAGGCTGAAACCATCCAACCCTGCAGGTCATGGCTGCTGCGCCACCAGGCCACCGGGTCTGAAGGGGACTAGTGCCTCAGAGATGAGGGCCTGCGCCAAACACCCATCCCAAATCTACAATATCAAAGTGCGTATTGGCACAGAGCCAGTGGCCCCACGGCTCAGGACGTGTTCAGGGCTGCCTTGGAGGCTCCCAGAGCCCATGCAACTGCTGCTCCTCCTGACAAGCCCCGGCCCTTCCCCGTGGGCCTGCGCTGGCGGGGCTTACCTGAGCGCGGTGCAGGAGTAGGAGAATCCCACGAAAGGCAGGTGGACGCCCAGTGGCATGGCCTCCCGGATGTCAGACAGCGTCTCCTGCACGGCAGATGCACACGGGTTGGGGCCGGCCCCTCACACCCCCAGCCCAAGGAAATGGCTCTTCCATCACGTCTCCTGGCATTCCGCTGCCTCCCATCGGGGCCTGTGCCGTTGTAGTTAGGCACTGCAGGCTCAGGGTGATGTATTAGTGCTCTGTGCCCACAGCTTCCCTACACTCCAGGCTGATGCAGTGAACAGCTGACAGAAATGACCTAGCAAAGGACTTGCCACTGTGGTGCTGCCAGCATCCCACACAGGTGCTGCTTCAAGTCCTGGCTGTGCCGCTTGGGCTCCAGCTCCCTGCTAGTGTGCTTAGAAAAGCAGTGGAAGACAAGTCAAGTGCTCGGGCCAGGGAGTCCAGGCAGGAGACCAGGCTGCATCTCTGGGCTTCAGGGCCAGCTTTGGCAGCCATCTGGGAGAGTAAACCAGCAGGTGAACCATCTTTCTCTGTAACTCTGCCTTTCAAATAGCCCCCTGCTCCAGGAAGCTTTCCAGAACCTTCTGCACTCCCCATCTCGCCTCTAATGGACCAGGGGCCTTATGGTCCAGGGACCATAAGTGCAGGTCACCACAGGTCACTGGTTTCGAACGGACAAGTCACCGCCCTCACTGCACAGGGGGTGGGGGACGGGCACGCGAAGGGGGTCCCCTCAGCTGAGCAGGGGCCGCAGGTACCTACCCCGCCCCCGCTCACCATGGCAGTGAGCCCATCCTCCACCACATCGAAGTTGCACGTGTCAGTGGCACCCTCAAAATCCGGTATAAAGGGGGGCACGCTGTCCCGCAGGCCATCCCAATCGAGGCCCAAGAAGAAAGGGTGCTTCTGGAAGTCGGCTGCCCCCTGCCGGCCTAGCCGGGTCTCTGGGGGACACAGCAGCCTCTGGATGAGGTCTCGGGCCTCCTCAGGGACGCCCACGTCGGCCAAGGGCAGAGTCAGGTGCTCCTGCTCGGAGGGAAGAAGGCAGGTGTGTCAGCACGGAACATGCGCAGGACGCGCCCAGGCCTCCTGGGGACAGCGCCCACCTGGTAGTGGACGATCTTGCCGTAGGTCTCGGCAGTAGAGTCGGCATAGAAGGGCGTCTGTCCGTAGAACATCTCGTAGGCGAACACGCCCAGTGCCCACCAGTCACACTCGGGCCCGTAGCTGCCTGCTCCAGGCCCACCGCCCACGGCCTGCAGGATCTCAGGGGACAAGTAGTCCGGCGTGCCCACAGCCACCAGTGACCGCACCTGAGCCAGGAGCCCAGGCGGCTCTGAGCTCTGGCCTCGCCCCACCACCAGCCCCCTCCAGACCTCGCCCCTAGGGCGGGTCCAAGAGGAGGTCTCTATCTTGTCCCTCCCCCCGGGGCAACAGGTGCACGCTCACCGTCCCATCTGCCCTCAGCTTGAGGCAGGAGCCGAAGTCGGCCAGGCGAATGTGGCCGCAGCGGTCCAGCAGGATGTTGTCTGGCTTGATGTCTCTGCACGGAGAGAACCCCGGGGGTATAGGGGAGTCGCCTTCCCACTTCCTGGCTAAGCTCTGCTCCTGTGGGCGGCGCCTGCCTCGGGCCCCACCCAGGAGCCTCTAGGATGATGCAGGGGACCCTGCTCCTTGGGCCCCGCCCTCTCTGGGCCTCAAACTTTGTGGGATCTCTGTAGGGTGCAAGCTTCACTACCCTCTCCTCCGGGCCCGCCTCTTGGCCCCCGCCCTGCCCCTCCACCATGCCACGCCCACCTGTGCACATAGCCCAGCTGGTGCACTGAGTCTATGGCCATGACAATCTCTGCTAGGTAGAAGCGCGCCATCTCGGCTGGGATCCGTTCCCCAAACTTGCTCAGCAGCGTTAGCAGGTCCCCGCCCACGTAGTACTCCATGACCAGGTACTGGGAGGGGGAGTGTCATAGGGGTCAGAACCCCCCAGGCACCAAGCACTGCACTTGCCCAGGATGCTCAGTCCAGAGACAGGGATCCCGCAGCCCAATCCCAAGGGATCCTGCAGCCCAATCCCAAGGGATCCTGCAGGCCAAATCGGGTTCCCCTCTCCCCAAAACTGCCTCTCCTGGGGATATGGCTTGGCAGATTCGCTCCCCCCTGAGGTTCAGGGGGAGAGAACCTAGAGACCTCCTCATACCACGGCAGAGTTCCCAGGTACTCCTTGCCCCCCGTCAGTGACGCCACAACTTGGGGAAGACCCTATGCTAGCCAAGACCCTCCCTTCCCAGCAGGAGCCCCTTAGAACCAGCCTTGGCAGGGCAGTGGGGAGCTTCAGGGCCCCGATCATGGCCATGCCAAGCACTTCCCGCACTCAGCACCCGACCTTCTTCTCCCTGCCACCGTCCCTAGCACCCCCACGGGGGGCTCACCAGGTAGTTCTCGTCCTGGAAGGCAAAGTGCAGCTCTGTGATCCAGCGCCGATCCCCGTTCACCAACACATCCCTCTCTTCCCGGAAACACGACACCTGCGGGGCACCACGGAGCTGGCGCGAGGCAGCACGGTGGGGGTGATCGTCGACGGCCCCCGCCCTCAGCCCGGCCCCTCACCTCGCCCCTCTTCAGCATGTCCCACTTATTCATGATCTTCATCGCATACACCTGGCCCGTCTGCTTCATCTTCACCACCGCTACCTGAAGGCCCAAGCAGAATGACTGGGGCCGGAGGAGGCGGAGCCCAGAGCCGGCCCCACCTCCAAGCCCGCCCGCCTGCAACTCTAGCACTCGGCCATTCATCAATTTCTGCGGCTCCGCCCAGAACGCCGATGCTCCGCCCACCGTAAAGGCCCCTGCTTCTCGCGGGGCGGAGCTCGGCCGCCGCTCGGGGCTCACCTCGCTGAACGCCCCGCGTCCGATCACCTTCAGAATCTCGAAGTCCTCTCTTTGTAGCCGGACCTCCTTAAGCCTTGCCGCAATGGGCTCCGCTGCGGAGCAGGGGGAGGCCCAGGGTCACAAGCGGAGAGAGGAGCCCCCCTACCCAAGCCTGCCCTTCTGCCTCTCAGCTTTAGCTTAGGACTTCCGTTTCCAAGGGCTCCCCACCACCATGAGCTGTGAAGTTATGGGTGCCAAAAACTGCCCTTCAGAAGAGAAGCGGGGAAGCCAGTTTGGGAAGGAAACTGAGCCCAGTTCCCTGCAATGCCTCCCCCCCTCACCCGCCTGCACTGGGGGTGTATGGGAGGGGGCTGCGTGCTTGAGTCCCACTGCCCGGGATCTCAGCTGGTACTTGTTGGGTTACCGCCCCCAGCTGCAGTGGGTCAGGTGCAGGTGGCCCTCGGACACAGCATTGGGGGCTGGGGAATTGGTGCCCACGTGGACATACAGTCTGGCCTCAAGCACTTTGGCACTTAGTGCTCTGGGGCTCATCTGCAACAGGGCTGGAGCAGGGCTGCCTCTCTGCCCCCTCCATCTCAGCTCCAGGTCAAGGTGTGGAGGGGCCAAGGCCTGGGGTGGAGGCCTGGCCCCTCGTGGGTGGGAGAAGTGGGACTTCAGAGGCAGGACAGAGTGGGCTGTGAACAGACGTGAGAAGAGGGAGACAGCGTGGCGGCGGGGGGCTTCTGGGGGATTCCAAGGGGGAAAGGGAGAGGGGCCAGCAGGAGGGAGCCAGCCCAAGCCGGGGCCAGGGACGGGGGAGGGACGCAGGAGCAGGCTTTGAGCCCTTTTAAGGCAGCGCGAACCCAGGCCCCCTCCCCCGCCCGGGAGGCCGGGGAGGGAGGGGCCGCAGGATGCGGCTCAGGCCACAAAAGGAGCGCTGCCTCCAGGGGATCCCCCTCCCCCACGCCAGGTCTCAGTTTACCCTGACAACCCACCACCCACACCGCCCAGAGTGGGACCAAGGTGACCCCAGGGGCTGAGTAGGTGGGCCCTTGACCTCCCCCTCTGCAGAGCAGGAGGAGGGAGAGGCCCAAGCCTGGGGCCACAGGAGAGGCTAGCAGACAAGAAGGAGCAGAGACAAGCCACTGTGACACACGCAGGCCAAGGAGCAAGAGCGGGCATGGGGGCGGAGACAGGCACTTGGAGGGAGAGTGGCAGGTGTCAGGAGCTGCAGCGCGCCTGAGATCTGGGTTAGGGGAGCGCGTGCCAGGTGCCGTGCAGTGGACCTGGACCTGTCCTCAGGGCCTGGAAGACACTGTGAGGAGGGGCTCACAGGGTCACCTCCAGGGGAGTCAAACAGGGAGCCATGTGGGCTGGCTGGAGCCAAGAGTGGGAGTGGGAGTAGGGAGGGGTCCAGACTCCACAGGCAAAGTAGGCACCCCCCCAAAACCCCCAAGCTGTCCTTCCTGAACTGGAGGTGGGCAGAGGGAAAGCTGAGTGGCGCCTGACTGCAAAGCTGGTTCTCCCCCAGGGCCTGAGTGAGTCACTATGCCCGCCCAGTGCCCAGCACCTGTCAGGGCAGCTGGGAAGCCTGGCGCCGGACACCTGCCCCAGCCACGCCCCTGGCAGCTGGCCCATGCCGGTTCTCCCAGCCTACCCTTGTTCATGCGGAAGCAGGCCAGGGGGTCCCAGGAGATGGAGTCCCACATGTCTCTAAGTCTAGCCTTGAGGATGGGGTACAAGACAACAGGAAACTGTCCAGCTCGGCCTGCTGTGGCCCCTACGCTATAGCTCTGAGTCATGGCCATCCTGGCAGGTTGACCTTCCTTTGCTTGCCAGGGTGGCATGTGTGAGTAGGGGTATGAGGCTCCAGTGCCCAGGCCCAACTTCTGGGCCACCTGTGTGGTGGGGGCAGGGATCACCCCAAATCCATCCTGTCACCACAAGCTGGGACCCTGGTTCAGCTGGCTCTCCTGCCTCTGCCCCTGCCCAGGGCCCCCACTCCACAGCCTGGGAGAGCCCATGGAGGTGCCACTCACCCCACTGCAAGAAGTCGGCCACGTACTTGTCCTGGGCCAGGTCGGAGGCGCCCAGTTCCTGGTGGACGCCCAGGAGAAGGTCGAGCAAGGGCTCCAGGCCCAGGAAGCCGGGGTCCAGCACCAGCGCCTGGAGCCGCCGCAGCCGCACCTCGGCTGACATGTTGGGCAGGCAGCACCATGGCCCCTCCCCGGGCCGGGGCTCGGGGCTTCCTCCTGTCACAGGGCCCAGCAGCCCCTGTCCAGGCCCCGCAGCCCTGGCCGCATGTCTGCCTGTCCCTGGCTGTCCCCTGGGCCTCTCTGGCCACTTCTCTCAGTTGCTGAGGTCTCCTCCTCCTCTCTCCCCACCCCCTGAGCCTGCCCCCTCCTGCCTCCCAGCCTTAACCCCTCACAGGCCAGCCCCCTTCAAGTCCCTCCTGGCCAGTCTTCTCAGAACCCTTCAGGGCTGGACTGGGGAGACAGATGGATGGAATTCAATTCTTGCAGTCCCCACCCCCCCATAAAAAGGTGGGCCACAGTTGATAGCCACAGGTGTCCCACCCATTGCCAAGAGGGGGCCAATCACTGCTCCAACATCCAGAACAGCTCTCCCTCGCTCCTCACCAAGGTGGGGGGTGGGGGTGGGGAAAGAGGAAGGGACCAGGACTGGGCAGGGGGGTGGGAGGCAGGGGGGGACAGGGCAGCTCCTCCTGTGAGTCAGCCCTGGATTCCGACTCGGGAGCAGTTAAGTTTAGCCCGCAGTCACCCCCATGTTTTATACTGGCTTTTTTGGCAAGTGGGGAAGGGGTGGGTAAGCAGAAGAGGGGAGGGAACACTGGGACGGGGTGGGGGGCTAGTCAGAGCCTGGGGGAGGCGGGCAGTGGAGCTGAGTCCTCCCCAAGCAAGTGAGACCCCAAAAATAGCTTCTTGGCAGCTGGCCGGGCAGCCACATTCTTGCCCAGGCTGGGATTAGAAACAGAAACATTTCGGGGCATGGAGGGAGCAGAGAGCCCAGAGCCGCGCGATTGGCCCCAGCTGCCAGGCAGGGGAGAGGACCAAGGGAGAGGGAGGTTGTACAGAATTCCCGCCTCCAGGGAAGGCTCCACTAGGACAATCAGAGGTAATAAGGAGGGCCCAGGGGAGGGGATGCACCTCAGAACCCCCAAGCCCATCTCAGTGCTGACCAGCCCGGTCCAGCTCCACTATGCCCTGGCCTGCAGCATTTCCTGCCCTCAAGGCTGGGGCGGCAGGCAACCGACTCCTGCATGGGAGACCTGGAAGAAACTCCTGGCTCCTGACTCTAGCCTGGCCCAGCCCTGGCCCTTGTGGCCATCTGTGAAGTGAACCAAGAGGATGGAAGATCTGTCTCTCCCTTTCTCTGTAACTCTTTCAAATCAATACATTTAAAAGGAAGCACTGTAGGGGGCCGGCGCTTATCCGCATGTCAGTGCGTACGTACACACACACACACACACACACACCCCACCCCCCCACCCCCACCCCGCACAAGGGACCAAAACGCTGTGCGAACACTGAAACTTTAGTATAAATACAAGGTCCTGGACATGGGGGTGGGGGGAACCCCGAGGGGCTCCCATAACTTAATACTCTCCAGAACACAGACAAGAGCAGGGGTGGAGGGGGGCTGGGCGAGGGGCTCTCCCGGCCTGTGCTCTCAGCACTGTGGAGCTGGGGCTCTTCTGAGCCGGGGATTTCTCCCTGCCGCGCCCAGGAGTGACCAGTCACATGCTGGGGACAGGGGTGCGGGGTAACACTGGCGTTCCAGAGGAAGGGGTCATTGTACTTGGCAGTGGGTGGGGAGGCCACAGGGGCTGCCACGCTCCGTCTCAGCCCCACCCCGCCCCGAGCGTGGGCCAGGCGGGGAGAGCCGCACAAGTCCATGTCATGGTTAGTCTTGTTAATGCAGTCATCCGTGGGCTCAATGAAAGGGTTATGGCTAGGAGGCTGGGGCGCAGGGTGGGGACCCCCACTATCCAGGACTTCACACCACTGTGCCACTTGGGGAGTTGCCTGGCTGGGAGGAGATGCCCTGGGGAATGAAAACGGAGAGATATAGGTGGGATTAGGGACCATCTGGGGTCCCCAGGGCTATGGCCACCATGGCCATGTCCAGCCACCCACACTCCAGCAGGCTCAGCTGGCCTCCTTGGCTTGTAGGTGGCTCTTTTATATAGCCAACCTCTGGGGTACTGGGCATGAATGGTGGGGTGCAGGCAGGTGGAGAGGGGGAAATTGGGGTTCCCTCCTGTGGGGGGCTGAGGTTAGGGACCCCCTGAGATGTTGGAGGGGAACAGACTTGGGGGAAAAATCCTACCTCTACCACTGACTTGTTGGGTGACCTGGGCCAACTTCCTTCCCCTCTCTGGGCCTCGGTCTCCTCGTCTGTGAACTAGGGAGATAGAAGGGGAAGGGACTCTTGCAGAATTCAATCAGACCCCCCAAACCTCGACACCCCTGTGTCAGAGGCACCCAAACTACACGCCCCAGCTGTTCGGGAATTCAGGGCTCCAAGGACCCAGGCTGCAGCATCCTGCCCAGCTCTGAGCAGTGGGGACAGTGGGCACAAGCCACAGGAAGCAGGAGCCTCCAGGTGTGAGGTCAGGGGGTGGGGGCCTGCCCGGGCTCACGCAGTGCCTGCAGTGCACAACTGGCACCCGAGCCTCTCCTCTCAGCCTGCACCTGCAGCAGTGGAGGACTGAGGCGTCACGCCAAGCCCGTGGGCATCCATCTTGCCCCTGGTTGTGCTCTGGCCCAAAGGACACGAATAACTGTCTTAAAAATTTAAAAATCCCATAGGTGGATTCTTGCCTGGAAGGAGAAAACCACCAGGACCCAGATGCGCATGCCCAGTGGGCAGCTCCTGCGTGCTGGTCCCGCTCTGGGGCATCAGCCAGGGACAAGTGTCCCATCCACCCCCTGTGCCTGCAGGGGCCCTGGGGCACTCACAGCCTTGCCGGGCCGCGCCCAGGTGCAGATGAGGCCCTCCTGGCACGCGGTGATGATGCAGTCCTCCAAGAACAGCAGCACCGTCAGCCGCTCCTGGGCGATCTTCTTGCACACCAAAGGCTCGAGCAGCGGCACCTCGTGGATGCGCGGGCACAGCGCGGTGCCCAGCACCTTGGCAGGGTCCAAGCGGCTACGGGGGGCGGGGCCGCTGGGCTTGTCTCCGCTGCTGCCACCGCCCCCACGGCTGATGTTGCCCAGGCTGTGGTAGCGCTTGTGCTCCTTCTCGGCCCCGCGGTCCCGCCGCTCCTGCAGCGTGAGCGTGGCGAAGCGGCCGATGCCGAATGGCGTGCCGGGCTCTGCCGTGGCGGCCACTGCTGCCGTGCCTGGGCCACCCGCCTTGCCCCCGCCTGCCGGGTGCGGCAGGCTGTTGGAGCGGGAGAGCGAGCGGGGCAGGGGCCCTGGGCCGGGCTCACCACCCCGAGAGCTGCTGGTAGCAGGCGGTGTGGTGCCGGGGGTGCCAGGCAGAGTGCGGGTGCGGGCCAGGGGTGGGTGTGGGTATAGCACATCCTCTGTGAGGTCCCACAGGCAGAACTGCGTGTCCTGGCCCGCTGAGCCAAAGCGGTAGGTGATGGAGCCAGCCTTGGGCAGTGGCGAGAGGGGGGCGCCCCCGCCCTCGGTTTCCTCCTCCTCCTCGCCACTCTGCTCTCCGTCGCCGCCAGTGGCCGCAGCCTCTTCTGCACGCGTGGTGTAGGGGTCAAAGGCGACCGCGTTGACCCACGACTTATGGCCATGGCCACGGGCTACCACGCGGCCCTCGGCGAAGGACCACACAGTGACTAGGTCATCTTCGCCCCCGGTGACCACGTAACGGCCGTCGGGGCTCCAGCACACACACAGCAGGCCCCCAAAGTAGCTTTTCATGAGGCCGCGCAGGAGCATGGAGTCGAAGTGGAAGACTCGCAGGCAACCGTCCTGGCTGACACAGGCCAGGTGCCGGCCGTCGGGTGAGAAGGCAAACTCGTTGAGGGGCCCCTCGCCCACGGCCCACTTGGCCAGCGGGTTGCGGGGTGCTTTGCTCTTGGCAGCGTAGACGGCGAAGCCCTCGCCCTGCTTTAGCAGGCTGTACTGTGGCGGCGCCGAGGCGCACGGGTGGCTCACGTGGTAGAGATACAGGTGGCCGCTGGCGTGGGAGGCCAAGAACAGGCTCTCCGACTCAGGCAGCCACTTCAGGTAGGTCACCTTGGTCTTGTCGATCAGCCGCTGCCGAGGGAGACGGGGTGGGGGTTTGGGAGGAGGAGGAGGCTATACCCTTGGCAGACCTTCTCCCAGGTCAGCCCAAGAAAGCTCTGGCTGTGGGCTACCTCACCAAGGGACACGAGTCACGGGAACGCAGGGCACAGTAGCTGCTGGGGAGGTGACCTGGGACCCTTAAGGTCCCATCTGGACTGATGGGCAGCCCCACTGGCCAGGAGGACTGTCTTCTTGTCTGTCCCTTATTCCCATCTCAACCCAATTGGCTTTGAAGCACAACAGTCAGCACAAATGGCAGCAGCCTAAGGACAGGCCCTCCATCTGGTATACCCTTCGGCACAGGGCGGGACACACAGCACAGGCTCCCTGAGAATACTGCCTGGCCAGGCAGATGATGACACGGCCCTGCCCTTCCAGGCGCCCCTGTTCTCACATACAGCCCCTCCACACAGCCTGAGGGTTTGCCCTTGCCAATGTACCCTGAGCCAGATTTCTCAGCAGCCAGCACCACCCAGTCCAGTTCAGGCCACCAGCAACCCTGGAACGCCCCTGCTGCTCCCTGAGTTCGATAAATGCACCTGCCTCCCGCCCGTAAGAGATCAAATACGCAATGAAGTTCTCTCCTTGTCCTGCTCCGGGTCCCTCCTCCAGGTCCACCCTGGCCCCACACCACTCTGCTCCCCTCTCGCGGGTCACCCTCCCTCACCCCAGTGTCACCACCTACTGGAATGCAGCCAACGGGGCTCAGGCAGCACCATTCCCCGCTTTCTCTGGCATGGACTAACCATTCCCCAGGCCAGGGCCTCGGCTGGCTTTGTTCTAGCCCAAGCGCTTGCCCCAGTGCCTGGCACACAGGGCTGGCTTCGTAACGGTTCTGTGAATGGAGGGGCTCATCAGTGTGCAGCATTCACCACTCCGCTCGCTCCCTGCGGCCATGAGCGTGGTCTGGGAATGCAATAAGACACAGTGCCCCCTGCCCGCAGATAAAGCCGCTGGCTGCTCAGGGATGGAGCAATGTGCTCGCAACTCGAGAGCCTGGGCATCAAATCCGTCCCCACTCGCCTCCTGCAGCTGATGCCAACTGAAGGGCACAGGTGG